TCTCAGTTCCTATGCTTTCTGGCTGATGGTTTGGTCACTTTTGAATGCTGGCCGTGCTGTCACTCTAGTAGTAGCATGAGACGGAGTCTACAACCCACACAAGTGGCTCAGGTAGTACAGCTCATCCAGGATGGCACATCAATGCGAACTGTGGCAAGAAGGTTTGCTGTGTCTGTCAGCGTAGTGTCCAGAGCATGGAGGCGCTACCAAGAAACAGGCCAGTACATCAGGAGAAGTGGAGGAAGCCATAGGAGGGCAACAGCCCAGCATCAGGACTGCTACCTCCGCCTTTGTGCAAGGAGGGACAAGAGGAGCATTGCCAGAGCCCTGCAAAATAACCTCCATTTTGTGCATGTGGTTGCTCAAATGGTCAGAAACAGACTCCATGAGGGTGGTATGAGGGCCTGACATCTACAGGTGGTGGTTGTGCTTACAGCCTAACACCGTGCAGGACATTTGGCATTTGCCAGAGAACACCAAGATTGACAAATTTGCCACTGGCATCCTGTGATCTTCAAAGATTAAAGCAGGTTCACACTGAGCCCGTGACAGACGTGACAGGATCTGGAGATGCCGTGGAGAATGTTCTGCTGCCTGCAACATCCTCCAGCATGACCGGTTTGGTAGTGGGTCAGTAATGGTGTGGGGTGACATTTCTTTAAGGGGCCGCACAGCCCTCCATGTCCTCGCCAGAGGTAGCCTGACTGCCATTAGGTACCGAGGTGAGATCCTCAGACCCCTTGTGAGACCATATGCTGGTGTGGTTGGCCCTGGGTTCCTCCTAATGTACGACAATGCTAGACTTCATGTGGCTGGAGTGTGTCAGCAGTTCCTGCAAGATGATGGCATTGATGCTATTGCCTGGCCTGCCCTTTCCCCGGACCTGAATCCAATTGAGCACATCTGGGACATCATGTCTCGCTCCATCCACCAACACCACATTGCACCAAAGACTGTCCAAGAGTTGGAGGATGCTTTAATCCAGGTGTTGGAGGAGATCCCTCTAGAGACCATCCGCCACCTCATCAGGAGCACGTCCAGGCGTTGTAGGGAGGTCATACAGGCACGTGGGGGCCACACACACTACTGAGCCTCATTTTGACTTGTCTTAAGGACATCACATCAAAGTTGGATCCGCCTGTAGTGTTTTTTTCCACTTTAATTTTGAGTGTAACTCCAAATTCAGACCTCCATGGGTTGCTAAATTTGATTTCCATTGATAATTTTTATGTGATTTTACATAGTGTAAACTATGTGATGAACAAAGTATTTAATAAGAATATTTCATTCATTCAGATCTAGGATGTCTTATTTTTGTGTTCCCTTTATTTTTTTGAGCAGTGTATTTTCTCCCATTCACTTGGTAGCCCTACTTCATGCTCTATATTTTATATAAAATTTGTGAGGAGCAAATAAAAGAACTACCTGCTTTATGAAAATAAAGGAGAAACGCATTACCAGGTACAGTAGTTCCAAAATCTTATTGGAATTCATTTGCATTTCAGAAAATAATTCCTTTTTGTGGAACATTCTGAATATACAGAATAGAATAACAGAGTTGGAAGGGACCTAGGAGATCTTCTAGTCCTGCTTAGGCAGGAAACCCTACGCCACTTCAGACAAATGGCTATCCAATCTCTTCTTAAAAACTTCCAGCGTTGGAGCATTCACAACTTCTGGAGACAAGTTGTTCCACTGATTAATTGTTCTAGCTGTCAGAAAATTTCTTCTTAGTTTTAGGCTGTTTCTCTCCTTGATTAGTTTCCATCCATTGCTTCTTGTCCTGTTGTCAGGTGCTTTGGAGAATAGGTTGAGTCCCCTCTTCTTTGTGGCAACCCTTGAGATATTGGCACACTGCCACCATGTCACCGTCCTTCTTTTCATTAAACTAGAAATACCCAATACCAGCAACCATTCTTTATATGTTTTAGCTCCCTAATCATCTTTGTTGTTCTTCTCTGCACTCTTTCTAGAGTCTCAATATCTTTTTTACATTGTGGCAAACAAAACTGGATGCAGTATTCCAAGTGCGGTCTTATCGAGGCATTATAAAGTGGTATTAACACGTCACATCAGGGGTGGGATTCCAATTTTTTAACAACAGGTTCTGTGGGCATGGCTTAGTTGGTGGGCATGGCTTAGTGGTCATGTGACTGGCTAGGTGTGGTCAAATGAACATCACTCATATCGAGGCACGCATCTCCTCACGTGGCCTCTCATGACTGTGGGGATGCTGCAACAGACGTGTGAAAAACGGTCATAAGTCACTTTTTTCAGTGCCATTGTAACTTTGAATGGTCACTCCACACAAGCAAAGTACCATCAAAGGGGGTGGGGGGGGAAACTCCAGAGACGTTCCTGCCAAGAATGTAATAAGGGTCAACGGAGAGGCAGTTTCTATAAGGAACACCAGAATGCTTCATTCCTGCCTTCCTTACAAGGTTAGGCCAGTAATTTCTTCTGACAACCGGTTCTGCTTAGAATGTTAACAACTGAATCTAGCGAATAGGTGCGAACCTGTAGAATACCACCTCTGTGTCACAGGATCTTGATTCCATCCCTCATTAAAGCAGCTGCAGCACACTGCTGGCTCATATTTAAGTGACTGTCCACTAGGACTCCAAGATCCCTCTCACAGTTACTACTATTGAGTCAGGTACCACCTATGCTATACCTGTGCATTTGGTTGTTCTGTCTAAATGTGGAACCTTATTTTTTTCACCACTGAATTTTGTTTTATTTTGTTAAATAGTGCCCATTGTTCAAGCCTGTCAAAATTATTCTGTATCTTGACCTTCTTAGATCCAGCACTTTTTAAACCTTGCTGCAACCATAAACCTAGGAAGTATGTATGTGCATGATTGTGTATCAATCAGATTATCTCTGAAAAAGGAGGCTTTAACCGAAAAACATAAAATTCTAATTAAAACTAACACTTGCCAATTTATTTTTGCCACCTACCAGCAATCTTTGACTTATGACTGGAATTTCTATTGTAACTAATTACAGGTGTATATGTCAGATTCAATTGTATGACAATTTCTATGTTGATTTTAAGCAAATCACATAGTTTTTAAAACTAGTCTAGCTTCTTTAATGGCTTTTGTTGCCGTTTTTTCTGCCAGGAAACAGCAAAATAGTTAGCAAATTGTAATCATGTGAGCACAGGAGGCAGGTATCTCTAATAAATGCAAGATGGCTGTCAAGTGCTAAAATTCTGATCATGCAACCACAGGATTGATGCAATAGTTCTAAGTCCAAAGAAATGTCATATATCAGTTTTTCCAAGACTGTTGTAACTTTGAACCATCATTAAACAGTCATAAATCAAGGATTGCCTGTATTGTGTCATTTCCAAGAATTAGCGGCACTTAATCTATGGAATGATATTTCACAGAATATGTATTTTCTAATTTTATAACTGGCTAAAATGTCTCTTATTAAATATTTATTTGAACATTATTGATTTTGCTGCTTTATTCACTTTAAGATTATTTGTATTCTATTGCATATTATTTTACAAAGATTTGAGTAATGCTGAGGCATCCTATAAGATCTCAAATGAAATCAATCTAGGATTTTTTTCCTGTAGAAATAGAAAAAGCTGTTAAGTGAAAAAGGAGATTTTTCCAACTATTATCTATAAAACCATTTGAAAAAATTGTTCCTAATCATTCATACCATCATACTGGTACAAGACAGTATTCAAACCCAAGTCAGGAGATCAGAACAGTTAATCTTAAAGCTGATTATAAATATTTTTACCCTTAGTCATACTAGAGGGAAACCCCTCCCCCCTTTTTTAACCAAATCACGGGTTTTCTTTACTAAGCGTTACAAACTGTATTGTATCCAAACATAACAACATACTTTTGAACTTTATAATCAGACAAAAAATTAAGCTCCACTTGCTGGAGATAATAGCTCTTGTGTGTTTTCCGTATTACCACTGAAATTTCTTACAGCTTCCCATTATTTCATTAACATTTCTTCAATATCTCTCAATTGCAAAATGTTAACGCAGGTAGCCCTCAGCTTCTGAACAGTCATTTAACAAACCTTCAAAGTTACCATGGACTTGAAAAGCTGCTTACAGTGCTCTTCTGGAAACTAAAAAATGCCACCCCCCCCCCCACCCCCCCGCTTTTTTGGTGCTTGGCAACCAGCTCACATTTATGATTGATTGACAAGCTCCCCATAATCATATAATTGCCATTTGCAATCTTCTCTGCCAGATTCTCCAAAAAGCCAATACGGAAGCTGGCAAGGATGGTTGTAGGTGAAAGGGAGCTAAAATCCTTTAGTGGGCTGCAAGAAGGAGCTGAAATTTTCAGGATTTCCACTCCATGCATGGAAAAGAGGGAAACCCTTTGGTAGGCTGCAGGAGCTGTTCTGGCAACTCCACAAAGGATTTTCCTGCAACCCACCAAAGAATTACCCAACCGTACACAAAAGGTAGCAAAATCCTTTGGTGGGTTTCAGGAGCCTACAGAGTGAAAGGGCTATCTGCCAGGAGGAGGTATGCTCTGTGCAAGGTTGAAATTTTTTTAGTAGGTACGGTAGCTATTTTGCTCCGTCTGCTTAAGAAGTCTTGGGACTGCATTCATTGAGCAAAGCGGTCATGTGAGTGTCTTGCTGATTTACTGCTTCATCAACAACCGGTCCCAATTGTGGTTGCAAATAAAGGACTGGCTGTATACCAACTTTTAATATATCTGTATTATTCATTTCAAAACCTTATGTTATATTATTCCTGATGGCTGAGAATTATAGCGTTAGTTTTTATTCATACTGGATTACTCAAGATGTTAAGCAAAATTTAGAAAAGCATTTTCTGTTTTATTAACTTGTACACCCATTGGAACTACTACTCTCAGAATCAGCCTCATGGGTTATAATTCTGGAAGTTACAGATTCAGCAAATATAGAAGGTAGTAGCCAGGGGATAGCTAATTCATCACCAATGTAACATATTATTTGGAAAGAATAACAATTCATACCTTGTGTTGTTCAATTGCATCTATCCATTGCTGCCTATGATCTGGATCCTGAGCACGTAGATACCAAACACTATCGTTTACACTAATATCAAATCTGCATTCGTCAAATTCATGAGGCTGTTGGACAAAAGAAAAAGATAATTAGGGGCACTAGAATTACATTTTAAGTGGATGAACCATGATTTTTTTTAAATAAATCATTTTATTTATCAACATATTCCATTAGAACCTGTCATGACCTAACCTGGGCCTACAAAAATCTGTACAGGGGACAGGGCCATGGACAAATTAAAAATAATTGTAGGCCACAAAGAAAAACTGGCCTGCCCATCAAGTGTTTGGTAGATATAGTTCTGGGGCAGTGAGAGAGCTGCCAGTGTTGATGAGCCTGGATACACTAGAGATGCTCAGCAGCATATCTTTTGGGATAATGGTGACAATATTTAGCAGCAGAATAGTTATTGAATTTTTTAAAAATACTGAAAGCCCACATGCAACCTGTAGGCATTATGTTGTATAGACTTGATCTAACCAAAACGTTTGAAAAAATGACTTTTTGAAATTAGGAAAGAAAAACACATGATGTAAACATAGAACAAAGATCTGTAAAATAATTTGCAAACATTAGAACTTAGAGGTTGAACTAAGAAGCATACTTTTTAACTTGAAACATCAGGTTATACACAGTTTAAAAACAATACCTCCAAGACAGAAATTACAAATATAAACTGCCTTACTTGTTTCAAACATTCCCAATAACTATTTCCACAAGGGCGAGATGGTCTTTGTGCATACCATACACAGAAAATTGGATGCCAGTTTCTTCTACTTCTGAAGACTGGGGGGAAGGGGGGCAAACAGGGGGGCTTTGGAAGTTAGGTAGTCTCATGCATAGAGATATTATATATTGTAACTCCTGTATCTACCTCCTCTGAGAGCTTAAGGTGGATTACAATGGATATAGAAAGTCCACACGTCCCTGTCACAATGCCAGGCTTTTGAGATGTAAAAAAAAAAAAAATCAGACCAAGATAAACCACTTCAGAATTCTTTTCTGCCTTTAATATAAGATATAAGCTGTACAGTGCAATTGTAAAAGAAACTAAAATATTTTAGGGAAAAAATAATAACAGGCTTACAATAACATGGTTGCATAAATGTGCATATCCTAAGTAGAGATGTGGAAATAACCAATCACATTCAAATTAATGCTAAATAGTTGTCAGTACATACCCGCCATCATTAAAATGACTCTGATTAAGCCTATATAAAATCCAGTTGTTCTAGTAGGATTTGTCTGACATATACGCAGTTGACTCTTACAGCAAAAGCCATAGTCTGCAAAGAGCTTACAAAACATCAAAGGATGTTTGGACTGTATCAGTCAGGATAGATACAAAAACATTTCCAAGGCATTGGATATACCATGGAACCCAGTGAAGACAGTCATCAACAGGTGGAGAAAATATAAACAACAGTGACATTACCAAGAATTGGATGTCCCTCCACAACTGGTGAAAAAGCAAGAAGAAAACTGGTCTGAGAAGAGGCCTACAACAATATTAAAGGAGCTGCAGAAACTTCTGGCAAAAACAACATTGGTTGTATGCTACATGTGATAACAGTGCCCTGTATTCTTTGTATGTCTGGGCTGTGGGTCAGATGGAAAAATAGAAGCCTTTTTATACAAAGAAAAATATCCACACCAGGCTACATTTTCCAAACTCTATGGAGTCTGACGAGGGCATGTGGGAAAATGTGTCGTGATCTGATGAGACCAAGATTGAACTGTTTGGCCAAATTCTCAAAACATGGCCATTTGGTGCAAAAACAACATTGCACATCATCAAAAGTACACAATACCCAAAGGAAAGCATGAAGGTGGCAGCAGTATGCTTCGGGGCTGCTTTTCTTCAGCAGGAACTACGGCTTTAGTCAAGGTGGAGGACTTATGAACAGTTTAAAATATCAGTAAATTTTGGCACAAAACCTTCAGGCCTCTGTTAAAATGTTGAAGATGAAGAGGAATTTCAACATCACAATGACCCAAAGCAAATCAACAAAAGAATGGGTTCATGAGTAGAAGATCAAAGTTTTGGAATGGCTTCAAAAGGCGCTTCAACAAAGTATTAGTTTAAGGGTGTGCACACTTATACAACCACATTATTGTAAGTTTATTTTTATTTTTTCCCCTTAAAAGATTTCAGGTTACTTTCAATTGAATCGTACACCTTATATGTTATATTAAAGATGGATTTTTTTTTATTTCTCTCGGCGGTTTTTTTTTTTATTTCTCAAAATCCTGGCATTTTAACAGGGATATATAGATTTTTTATATCTTGTGTGTATTTGTGCGTGTGTGTATACACCTGCACACATACACATGTATACATGTTATGTATGTGTATATGTATGTATACACCCACCCACACCCATTCTGATAGCACATCTAAATATCCTAACCCTAATCCTAACTCTAACCCTGTAAATGCTGAGCACTAGTTTCAATTCCTGGCAGTGGGTTTGAACTCCATATAATAACCGCTGATGAGTCCCAATAAGGGGGTAAAACTGGAACTGTACAGAAATAGCTAAAAATGTTCTAGCCAGAAATTTATACTAGGTTCTTGATTTGTAGGTCTGTGTTGTGCTTAAATCAAAATATTTATTATTTCTCTAAATGTGCCCTGCTTACTGATTTTGTTTTCTTGAGCCATCTCTGTGTACTCGCTTATAGCTGCCACACACACCAACCCCACTTTTCCTATAAATCTTCCTGAATCTTGGAAATTTTAAGACAAATTTCTAAGCCTCATTTATTAAGACAAAGTTTCTCTGAATGATTTAAAACACTTCTTCCTGTGTTTTGCTTCACCTGGGCTAGGCTGACATTTATGTGATAAGGTGTCAACTGATTCACCTATTACCAGGGGTGAGATTCAAATTTCTTAACAACCGGTTCTGTGGGCATTGGCCTAATTTGTGGGTGTGGCTTGGTGGTTGTGTGACTGGATGGGCATGGCTTGTATGTAAATATTGTAAATATATCTGTAAAGATTGAATTTTTTATTTTTTAAAAAGAGCAACTTTTACCCAAAATCAGGCAAAGCAGGCAGGCAGATTGAGCTCCTTGCAGAATCACAGATTCACTCAGATTCACCTTTCTGCAATCTGCTACCTGAGTCTGCACTGAAAAATAGAAGTTTCAATCCTAAGGAAGGTTCAGCTCTGCTCTCAGGCCACTTCTCCCTCCCCCAATCCCCTGAATACCACCCTTGACTAGGCCTCAGGGAAGCCTCCTGGGTGGGATGGGTGGGGAGGGGAGGGGCCAGCCAGTGATGTGATTTGCCAGTTCTCCGAACTGCGCAGAATAGTAACAACCAGTTCTATAGAACTGGTCCGAACTGGTAGAATCCCACCCCTGCCTATTACTAACTATGCATAGCTGATCTCTCCACTGTCTACTAATCTACATAGGCTGTCGACCATTTCCCCCACCTCCTCAAGTTAAAATTGTTATACAAAATATAGCTTTAATGAATACTTTATTGAAAAAGCTGTACATTTAGGAAATGCTATTAACTAGCTCTATACCCACGCTTCACTACAAAACTATGTGATCGGGCTTAGTTTTTGAGGAGGAAACTAAAGGGGGAAAATCGTGCCTCTGCCTACCAGCATCCATCAGTATTCATCTAGCCAGCATCCTGTCAGGGTGTGAGAGAGTTGAGGGCTGTTTGGAACCTGAAACATGGAAACTGAAACAATATTTGCTGTGTGAACAAGGAGACAGCAAGGAGCCTGGGTGTGGCTTAGCTCAACTGTTTTGCACTAAAGCTGGTTGCTTCTGTGAAACTAAAACTGAAACTGAAATTCCTCTCCTCTGCTTGTGTTTTGCATTTGGAACAGATTTCTTTTCAGGTGTAAAGAGGGAGTAGAACTCTTTAGCATCAGAGCGTGTTAACAATAATATACGAAATACTAATGCTCTGGTGGTCATTTCAAAAAATCCTTTCTTCATGAGGACCTAGAAGCCAAATACGTGCCAAATTTCAAGTTTGTAGGCTTTACGGTTCTGGAGATTTTGTGATGATGCATAACTGGTATTTGGCTTTTATATAGAGAGATTAACAAATTATAATCTATTAATGATTTTAGAATTCTAGGTGCTTTGAATATTCAAAAGCAAGGAAGCAATTCTTATACTAACATTTATAGAATGTATACATCTTACAAAGGAACTAAATCTCTGCCTTTTCAGTAAAGAGAAGTAAAATTTAACATACAATGTAATTATACAAACACTTTAAAAATTCTCTTTATAATTCTTTCATTTATCCTTCCCTCTCAGTTCACTAAAATAGCCAGAAAACAGAAGTATGTGAACTTTATCATCTCTCTAAGGAGTGATTTTACACACCAATATATGCTTTACTCCATCAGTTATGAGGTAATTTCACAAGGGCTTTGAGTTGTTTCTCAGTTAGAAGAATGACTGTCTATTCTAACATTATGCAGACCAATGACCAGACTTTTTAAAAATGTAACTGTACAATTACATATTACTGTGGTCATACATTATCTTTTGTTCCCATAACAATGGTTTGTTGAATGAGCCAAAAAAAACAAAACGTAGTGAGACAGGCAAACAAGCAAACATGGTTTGTATGGACAAGTTTTGATTTGATCCGTTTCTTTTTTGCAGCTGCTATTTCCTTATATTTCTGTGGATTAGTTAGATATTTAGGTAGGACACATGAACAAAGCAAGAAACCACAGACAAAACCCGAGTTTCTATTTACATATCACACTGAAAACTTGCTTAGGATTTAACAGGCAGGGCTGGATTTAGTTAAGGCTGAATAAATACTTGTCTAGGGTGCCAAAGCTTAAGGAATGTCAGTGCCAACCCTCCTTCTGAATCATTCCAAAAATGCAAATCTTCACAGGTGGTGGTTTACCAATCAATATAGCCTCGGGATGCCCTATACTTTGAGCCAGCATTGACAACACCTCACTGGTAATCAGAGTTAATGGCCAGAAGGAAGAAGGCAATCCAAAATATATGAAGGGCACCAAATTATATAGTCTTTGCTTGGGCTTTCAAAGAAATAACT